TTGGGATTTTTATTGCTGCGTTTAAATTCCAAGAATACTACATTATTTTTTTCATATAGGAATAATTTTTGCTTTAGAAAATTTTCCTCTATGAAATAAATTTCAATAATGTAAACTTTAATCTGAATACCTTATAATAATTCACAATCTGATTAATAATATTCATAATATGTATCTGACGCTATAGGCATTCTGCAGTTTATGAGAATAAAGTCTTGTCTTGTCTTGCATGCCGATTAACCCTCTCCTTCTGTAACTTGGGTGATTGCATTGCTCTCACATTATTATAACACTGTTCAATTCTACTTATTTCTTGGCTTTTTGTTTTGTACTTTTATATATCCTACAATTGCTAACAAGAGGCCCATGGGCCACATCGCTCACCTGAGAAGCTTTGACCATTCTGTTCTTTACCAGATTTCCCCCTTGTTATACATAATGCATCCCCACCCTACCCCACTGATCATAATTTAGACATTTTGAAATCTACACTAACCCATGATCCTTCCATGGGCACATATGTTTCAGCTTTTTTGGCCCAGTGGTTCCTGAGAAGAAGATTTTCAAAGATTTTGCCTATATATTTCTATGTAAAACTTTGATTCCCTATAATGGCACCGCCCTTCCCCCGGGGGTCATGATTCCTATAATTTAGAATTTACACTACCCTAGAATGCTTCTATATATATAAGCTTCACTTTTTCTGGCCCAGTGGTTCTTGAGAAGAAGATTTTCAAAGATTTTTCCTATATATTTCTATATAAAACTTTGATTCCAAATTGTGGCCCCGCCCTTCACCCGGGGGTCATTATTTGAACAATTTAGAATCTACATTATACCAGGATGCTTCCACATAAGTTTCAGCTTTTCTGGCCCAGTGGTTCTTAAGAAGAAGATTTTTCCTATAAATTTCTATGTAAAACTTTGATACCCCATTGTGGCCCCGCCCTTCCCCCGGGGGTCATGATTTGAACAATTTAGAATCTACACTACCCCAGGGTGCTTCCACATAAGTTTCAGCTTTTCTGGCCCAGTGGTTCTTGAGAAGAAGATTTTTAAAGATTTTTCCTATATATTTCTATAAAAAACTTTGATTCCCCATTGTAGCCCCACCCTTCCCCCAGGGGTCATTATTTTAACAATTTAGAATCTACATTATACCAGGATGCTTCCACATAAGTTTCAGCTTTTCTGGCCCAGTGGTTCTTGAGAAGAAGATTTTCAACGATTTTTCCAATATATATTTCTATGTAAAACTTTGATTCCCCATTGTGGCCCCGCCCTTCTCCCGGGGGTCATGATGTGAACAATTTAGAATCTACATTATACCAAGATGCTTCCACATAAGTTTCAGCTTTTCTGGCCCAGTGGTTCTTGAGAAGAAGATTTTCAAAGATTTTTCCTATATATTTCTATTTAAAACTTTGATTCCAAATTGTGGCCCCGCCCTTCTCCCGGGGGTCATGATGTGAACAATTTAGAATCTACATTATACCAGGATGCTTCCACATAAGTTTCAGCTTTTCTGGCCCAGTGGTTCTTGAGAAGAAGATTTTCAATGATTTTTCCTATATATTTCTATGTAAAACTTTGATACCCCATTGTGGCCCCGCCCTTCCCCCGGGGGTCATGATTTGTACAATTTAGAATTTACACTACCCCAGGGTGCTTCCACATAAGTTTCAGCTTTTCTGGCCCATTGGTTCTTGAGAAGAAGATTTTCAAAGATTTTTCCAATATATATTTCTATGTAAAACTTTGATTCCCCATTGTGGCCCCGCCCTTCCCCCGGGGGTCATGATGTGAACAATTTAGAATCTACATTATACCAAGATGATTCCACATAAGTTTCAGCTTTTCTGGCCCAGTGGTTCTTGAGAAGAAGATTTTCAAAGATTTTTCCTATATATTTCTATATAAAACTTTGATTCCCCATTGTGGCCCCGCCCTTCCCTTGGGGGTCATGATTTGAACAATTTAGAATCTACATTATACTAGGATGCTTCCACATAAGTTTCAGCTTTTCTGGCCCAGTGGTTCTTGAGAAGAAGATTTTCAAAGATTTTTCCTATATATTTCTATGTAAAACTTTGATACCCCATTGTGGCCCCGCCCTTCCCCCGGGGGTCATGATTTGAACAATTTAGTATCTACACTACCCCAGGGTGCTTCCACATAAGTTTCAGCTTTTCTGGCCCAGTGGTTCTTGAGAAGAAGATTTTCAAAGATTTTTCCTATATATTTCTATATAAAAATTTGATTCCCCATTGTGGCCCCGCCCTTCCCCCGGGGGTCATGATTTGAACAATTTAGAATCTACACTACCCCAGGATGCTTCCACATAAGTTTCAGCTTTACTGGCCCAGTGGTTCTTGAGAAGAAGATTTTTTAATGACCCAACCCTATTTTTGTCTTTTCTTGATTATCTCCCCTTGCGAGGGGATATGTCCCTTTATTTTAACAATTTAAATTTCCCTTCACCCAAGGATGCTTTGTACCAAGTTTGGTCAAAATTGGCCCAGTGGTTCTTGAGAAGAAGTCGAAAATGTGAAAAGTTTACAGACGGACAGACGGACGGACAGACGGACGGACAGACGGACGGACGACGGACAAAATGTGATCAGAAAAGCTCACTTGAGCCTTCGGCTCAGGTGAGCTAAAAACAACAACCAAATAAAATCTTCAAATTATATTATATTCAAAACTTTTAAAACAAAATTAAACTAGTTTATATGTTCGAATTGATGCAACAGTTCTAAACATTCTATGTATTTCGATCACATGGAAACACACCCTTGCACTTCAGCCAATAGAAACCCTGGAAAATGTCAACAGAGGGGCACACCTCCATTTCCATTGAAATGGGAAGTTCACATGTACTGAACACTACAGCAAACGTGTCCAATGAAAATAGGTCAGACATATTATAAAGTTTCAATCTATAGCATTCTCTAAAAAAAAAATCTGCATGAATAGTTTCTAACAATCACCATGCAAATACAAATCTCTATAATTGTCTCACCCAGAAACCTTCCATGTTAAATGCAATTTTTTAAATGTTTGCATGGACTTTTGAAATCAGCCATTAAGTCTTTCTATTTATGATATCTATCAAAAACTTATTCAAAGGGTATTTTTAGCTCTCTGTCTGAAAGAGGAACATATACCTGTCCTCATGCAACCTTGTTCTAAATCTTAAATATTTAGTGCATGGATTATTAAACCAATCAGAATGGTTAAAACTGTCAATAAGGAGACGCACCTCCAAGGTAATATTACCTGTACAAAATACCAAATATTTACATATCAAGATTTCAAAATCAAAATGTTCCTGTTTATAGTCTTGTTTCTCCGGTTATAATTGATTTAAGGCTTTTCCACTTTCACAATTATAAACAGGAAAGCTTGAGAAAAATAATTAAAAATTGCATTCAATCAAAATCAGTCAAATGTTACGTACGTAATATATAATTACTGTCACAAATTCCAGATCATTATTCCCCATTTCTGTAACTTTTAAGTATACAAAAATTTTAAAGAATTGATCAAATTACATTCCATATTTTTCAAAAAAATATTTTAACTACACTATTATAGTTTAATGAACAAAATTTCAAGCAACAAGGATTTTGGGGATGAGGGAATCTAATATAAGAAATACAGTTAAAAAAGAAAAGAAATCAAGTTATGTTCAATTAAACAGTCAATGGGTTTTTCCTTTGAAAATGTCACCAAATAACTTATGCCTTTCCATGTTTAGTTTTATTGTCACAGCAGATCATATATGCCTGATATGTGTGATTAATCACATCCTAGACAGAAGAAATTATTAATATCCCGGTATTTATTGTTTGGGAGGAGGGGGTAAATAAATACATTAATGGTGTATTCATGTTTTAACTAAATATTTTATTTTAATAGTTAATAAAATTAAGAATTATTAATATCATATTGTTCTTCTTTACAATGAAATATCCCACTCTTTGCTAAATCTCAATGAAATTGATGTCTTCAAAATATCAATTTATCACTTAAAAAAAAAAAAAAAAGAAAATAATGAGTTTTTTTTAAAAAACTTCTTTAAAGGTCTGAAAATATCATTAGACATAGTCATTATCAAAATATATAAAAATAATGTTGTGGTTGTTATTCTTTTCTTTTCATATATTTAGAATTAGCCATAAGTTTCATGCTCATCATAATTAAGAAAGAATTAAGTTTGTCTGCTAAAAAACCTGGAGAAGCAGAGAAGACTTTCAAGAATTTTAATATGTATTTCACTTTAAGATCAATAAAACTCTGTCCTTAGACACCAAAACACCTGATCATGACAAGAGCCATCAATTTTAGAGGACCCTTTGCTTCAAATAATGAAATTTGACTGTTTAAATGTCTGAGGTATAATGGATTAACATTTTTAAAAAAAAATCTTTTTGATGGTTTTGGTCCCATGGAACTATTTAGCCCCCCCCCCACCTTACCCCAGTAATCTAGTTAGTAGGGTTGATTTTGAGATCAATTTGGAGTACATCAAAAGATTTTTTTATTGTTTAAATTTACTTGCATAAATAAATAAATAGTAAAACCTCTAATCTAATTTGATCACAGATATATTTCTTCTGTATAATACTGTAGGTCCCTATGAAAAAACAACTTTGACAGAGTGTCATAGACTACATATTTATTAATTAACAATCAATTCATAAATGAATGAACATTATAGAGTCTAAATACGATTTTAATATAAAAGTCTCATTTTGTTCGTGAATCAAGTCTAATAAATACAAACTTTTTCATATGTAGGCCTATAGGAAATAAAATCCACATTATACAATTGTTATTGATCATTGGGGAGTGGGTCTCCAATCTCTGTATTGTACATGATGTGTAGTACGTTGGTCGTTGCCTTTTATACGATCGTGCCTCTTCCGCACGTGCAATCAGTTACAAGGGAATCAAGCTGGACACACGGTGTAAAGGGTTATAATAATGAAACTTACTTATCTAGCGTGTTTAATCCGTTACTCTTCAATCGTTTTGCTGGTGGATATTCACCATTGATCAATTTTGACTTGTTCAGTTCATTTTTCCCTCCCTCTGTAACGTTCATTTTGGTACTAATGTACACCATGGGGATAGTGCAGCGGTTTATATACAACTATGTGGCGGATTAATCCCACTGGTGAGGAACATGCGAATATAATTTCTGTTTAATGATATGTCATTCCAAATTTCTCCTATACAGGAAATATATACTATAAAATTTCGCGGAAAAATATAAGAACTACTCTCTAAAAATCTTTATTTTGAAGAACATTCACGAAACATTGCGCACTCTTTTTTTATTCAGAAACATGAATGACAACAATAACAATGGCATTGTGTACAACAAGGAAAGGTATAGGTCTCATGGATCCGGACAAGTTTGTATTTTGTGCTCTAAACAAACACTTGTATATTCTACTGTATATCAAGAAATAGTTTGCCAAACATTGGATAGAATAAGAACCTTAGAAGAGAATGTTTATAATCCACTCACAACGGATGTAACGCGATTGCGTGTGGGTTCGTTTGGGGATTATGTCCTGTGCGGAACGGAATTCAGTGAAGTAAATTTGTAATAACAAATATTGCCTTGATTAAAAGATATGCTCTTTACGAGAGAATGCTCCGCTTTGCGGCGCCCATTGTATTGAAAAAAATGGATGGATTTGCCAATAAATAACACTGTACTAGTTAATTAATGGGTGTGTTTCATAATTAAATAACAATGACGTATTTCACACTATGAGGATATCAGCCGCCCGACCTCAATCACTTTGTTAAAACTTATTCCACATGTGCAGTATCAATCATATAAGTAGAAGATAAATGCCATTTTTTGTTACATTCTACTAAATATTCGAATTTTAGAACAGATTTTAAAAATCTTATTTACTAGCATTAAATGCACCCACTTTGTCTGTAAAGTTGTTGCGTAATATATGTGTATATTTCATTTACTTTTGTTTACAAAAGACTTACATGTACATATAGGTATGATGATCCTGCTGTTTGAATATTTAGTTGTATTCATTTCGAATGCAAAAATGTTTCTCGTTGTATATTGTATTTCACACATTGTCACTGCAATAAATCATTTACTTACTTACTAATAATTACACATGTATTCAAATTATTATCACTAATGTTTCTTCTCGAAAGTAATGTGTTTATATGATTTCAGTAATTTGATTTAGCTCTAGAAAAAGCATTTTGTTAATTTATTATTCTGATTTTCAAAAGAAATGTCCAATGTTAGAAAAAAAAAACAATGCGTATTATATTTATAAGTTAAATGTTGATGGTCAAACTTATCCATCGAAACTCTCTGTTAGAAGATATATCTACTGTCCAAAATATGCATAAATAAATAATTAATTACACAGCTTTCATTACAAATGAGAGTAGGTTTTAAAACAGCTGGAATATTTCTTTAAAAATGAGCATCCAACACAAAACCATGACACGTCGCACACAGGTCAAAACTGTTCAAATTGCTCTTGAAAACTTCACATCAAACACCGATTTATTCATGTTTTAAATACACATTGTATGAATATTCATTTTTTTTAAAAATTTCATTATGTACGTTCAATATTTAATCCCATATCAAATATTTGCTTGGCCATTAACAAAGTCCTTGAAATGTTCTATACTTTCCACACGAGGGCTCAGAAAAAAAGAAATGTTTGTGAAAAAACAAGAAATGTTTGTGAAACACTGATTCCTCGGTATGACAGCCTTTGTCGAAGGCTGAAGTTTATCAAACCTATGTGTATTCAAGACCCGTCAAACTTCAAGGTTAAGGGATGAAAAATGTTGCTACCCAAAGAAAGTTAATATTTTCATATACTGAATATTTTCTTCTTTATTTCTTATAAGAAAACTATTGCCATAATCGATTCATGAACAACACTTGGCATATCATCAGTTCAGATATTTTGATCAGTGTTCCATCAACGAAACGTACCTTGAAGTACAAATCAATAATTCAAAAATTATTAATTTTTTTATCCCACTTTAATTGATTACTTATATAGATATTAATATAAAAATAAATGTTTTTATATGGTTATTGATGCAGAAATTAATGTCGCAGCTATTGCAGAAAAAAAAATTATTGCGCGGTTTATGTATTTTTTCTGCAACAGCTATATTACCAAAGAAAGCATTTTATTTTTTTATTAAATCCATGGAAAGGTCATATAACTATAATAACACATATTAGCACCAACTGTTCAAAAGTGAGGACCAAGGTTAAAGTTAGATAAATTCTTGCAACATAGGGTCCAACTACAAGGTCAGGAGGTCAAATATGTTGGTACCCAAGAAATACACGTGAAATATGAGAACCGTAGTTTAAACCAATTAAATGTTATGGGCAGAGTTTTTACAGACTTACAGACAGATGGACGGACAGGGCAAAAAAGTATGTACCCCTGATTCTTCAACTAAGGGGACATAAAAAACGATTCAATCGAGCTGAAGAGGGGTATTTTAGAGTTCGTATAGGACATTCTTCGTGGATTGGTCTGAGCCGCGGGGACGCTATTTGGTGTATTCAAGCACTCAAGTCTTACAAAAAGAAATCAAAGTCCTCAGAAGTACAGAGAGCCGAGCTCATTTACAGAGTAGAATGAATTTCTTACATGAATCATACGTTTATATTCTGATGAAAAAAAATTATTTTAAAACTATCAATATAAATGATAAGGCACTGACAGTGAGTTTTTCGATCCTAATAACACGGTCCGATTTTGTCAGAATAATAAATCAGAATTAATCTGGTACTGCAGCTGAATGTAAACAAACAGGCCAGTCTGGTTCCCTCTCCTGCTTTACCTCGTATGTGTAGAGAACTTACTTATCCTTACGCTAATGAACTATGTTCTTTGACTTAGAACTGAAGTTTTCAAAGTCATTACTACTTATGTTTTATAAAGATAAAACTTCGTTTTATTTTTGTTGCTTTATTTAGCGTTTGTATTATCTCAAAAGCGGTTGAGAGCAAGAACTATATTTTTACTCGTAACTTTAAAATGGCGACTATGGGGTTGACTTCCTGTCTTGAACGCAGAAGGATAAAACGTACGCTCAACTAGGACCTGAGGTCCCCCGCAAATAGTTCGTCATTTTGCGTAGTAATAAAACATTTTAGGAACTCTTCAGGCATTAAAGGCACAAAAGTAAATTCATTGATCGATATCAATACGGAGACCTCAGGTCACCTTATATATTAATTGAATTTTATATGATAGACAGTTTTCTTTGTCTTACTCCAAAATACAGATCTACTTTCTAATATATATATATATATATAATCAGAAACGTGAAAGTAATTGGGGGGACCAGAGGTAACCTTATATTATACATCACTTGGGAGACCAGAGGTCACCTTACCCTATTGTTATATTGATCATCATTAGAGGGATCATAGGTCACCTTACATTTAAAATTAATAGGGAGCCGAAGCTAACCTTTTATTGCACACCGTAAGGGGACCTGAGGATACCTTATATTCTACATCATTTGTGGGACCAGAGGTCACCTTATATTGTACATCAGTAGGGGGACCAGAGGTCACCTTATATTGTACATCAGTACGGGGACCAGTGGTCACCTAATACTGTACTGTACGTCAGTAGAGGGAACAAAGATCACCTTAGATTGTACATCAGTAGAAGGGCCAGAGGACACCTTACACTGTACATCAGTCGGGGGACCAGAGGACTCCTTATATTGTACATCATTTGGGGGACCAGTGGTCACTTTATATTGTACAGTACATCAGTACGGGGGACCAGAGGTCACCTTATAATGTACATCGGTAGGGGGACCAGAGGTCGCCTTATATTGTACATCAGTAGGGGAACCAGAGGTCACCTTATAATGTACATCAGTACGGGGACCAGAGGACACCTTATATTGTACATCAGTAGGGGGACCAGAGGTCACCCTATATTGTACATCAGTACGGGGACCAGAGGACACCTGATATTGTACTGTACATCAGTAGAAGGAACAAACATCACCTTAGCTGTACATCAGTAGAGGGGCCAGAGGACACCTTATACTGTACGTCAGTAGGGGGACCAGTAGTCACCGTATATTGTACATGAATAGGGGGACTAGAGGTCATCTTATATTGTACATCAGTAGGGGGACCAGACGTCACCTTATATTGTACATCAGTAGGGGGACCAGAGGTCACCTTATAATGTACATCAGTAGGGAGACCAGAGGTCACCTTATAATGTACATCAGTAGGGGGACCAGAGGACACCTTATATTGTACATCAGTAGTGGGACCAGAGGTCACCCTATATTGTACATCAGTAAGGGGACCAGAGGTTATTTTATATTGTACTGTACATCAGTAGAGGGAACAACAATCACCTTAGATTGTACATCAGTAGGGGGACCAGAGGACGCCTTACATTGTACATTAGTAGATGGACCAGAGATTATCTTATATTGTACATCAGTAGGGGGACCAGAGGACGCCTTATATTGTACATTAATAGATGGACCAGAGATTATCTTTTATTATATGATTGAATAATTTCCTTCTCTCTGATTGGCTGAGATCCAACTATGTTAGAAAAATACTATATTGTATTGACCTGCACGTGACGTTCCAGGTCAATACAAGGAATTATTGCAGGTCAATATAAGGAATTATTGACCTGCTCCATTTTTCCTGTTACAATGTGTTCTTGTTGAAATTTCTCGTTAAAACTTTCAATGAAAGCAAAGAAACAGTCCTGTAGGAGTTTACTATAATTTAATCATATAATAAAACGGTTATTGCTGTTTTTTACAGTCGATACGATGATTTGGCCACCTTCGAAGTACAATATTCACTTCGCCCTTCGGGCTCAGTGAATATTGTACTCCTCAGGTGTCATCGTATTGACCTTAAAAACAACAATAATTGTATAATATTGTACATCAGTAGGGGGACCAGAGGGCAGAGGACACCTTATATTGAACATCAATAAGGAGATGAGAGGTCTCCTTATATTGTATATCAATAAGGAGGGCGGAGGACACCTTATATTGTACTTCA